CTCCGCTCCCGTCGCCGTCATGTGAAAACCGGGGTCGAGGGGATCGTGCCGCGAATTATTACAATCCTCCAATGATCGAGTGGGAATCTTCCTGAGCCTTCTAGTTTAATAACGTTTCTGTATGCATATATTGCGAGCATCACAAAAGAATTGACTCGATAGGGAAACATTCGATGACTAGCAAAATTTAAGCATGTTTCTAAAATTAAAAGAAAGGAATGATTTAGGAAAAAATAATGTACTTTTATGTTATTTTGTATATATTATTTATGTGTCTATGCCTGTGTCTTTTCAAAATAACTAGCAATATAACAGCAGTATTGTTTTATTAACAAAAGAATTCTTAGCCTTTGAATTTTTTCTAGTAACAAAACCACATTCCTTACATTCAGATCTATTTATCTTCCAAAAAGTGTCACATGAAGAGAGGAAGAGCTTGAGCAAAGAAAGTAAAAGCAAATAATTTTTATTGACTACAAATCTATTAAATATGCCAACTACGAGGCCATAATACGCAAGACTTTCATGAAAATATTCTTTCTGCTCATGAAAAATCTTTTTAAAAAGACAATATTGATGTCATTAGTTAACTATTGAAAAGCCATAAAACTTTCGCTCCTTTGGTTAATTTATCGATTCAAACGGTTTATAACGCTAACTGGAATATATCGTAAATTTTCTTAAAATAGAGAAATTTTTATTACAAAACAAAATAACGTTTATATAATACTAATGGTTACATAAAGATGTGATGTTTCTTCTATAGTCAAATAATTTCACTTCTCATGCGACTTTTCATTTTTACATATCCTTGTTTTTTATCATCAATGTGTCTTCAATAAAAAAATAAAATCACCGTAAAATAATATAAGATCTGCCAGTTTCTATCATATCATTAATAATTGATCGTATAATGCCGATCGTATATAAAGTTGCACTGCCATTTAATTGCAGGTGATCAGGTAGCCAAAGCAAAAGTCCTCCTCTTCTTCTACTCGTCTTACTCTTTTTCTTTTATTTATTCAAAATATAGCTACACACACACACACACACACACACACACACACATTGTCACTTCGACCGACTTTCATTCATTTTAAAAGCCGCAAAGACGGAACGAGTAAAAAACCGAAAAGCAAATCCGGCAGGGTGGTCAGTGGAAAATGATCGGATTAACTTGACTTTGAAGAGAAGGCGGGATACCCTCCTCAAATAGCGGATTAACTTGGTGGTCACTTTGCGGTTGTTCGTTCGCCGTTTATGTTAAACATCATAATGGTCATACTTTAAATTCAATGTTCAAGTTAACGATTTGATGAACAGAAGCTAATAATGTGATAGCTGGACTTACCATTTAAATCCATCTTGGCTCTTAAATCACGTGCTCACATTGACAGGTGATAGGACTCGCTAATATAGATAATATAGATAATATAGATAGTACTATAATAGTGTATATATATATATATATATATATATATATATATATTCTCTACAGCTAAAGAAAAAAATTTTCTAGCTCGAGTTCTCTTTGCTCGAAAAATAAATGTGAATGATTGAATAAATAAACATCAGATTATGGTCGATAAAAATGCCTCTGAAAAATGACTTCCAGCCAATCAGAAGACTTAAGCCACTTTTAGAGATACTTTTGAAAGAGGAATTCAGAATATGATCCAAAGTTCATTATTCATCAAGTATGTAATTATAGAAAATATTTTAGCATACATGGTAGTTTACTAGATTTAATATATAATTTATATCTATGTATAATTTAATTATATAATTTAATTCAACGTCTACACATTTAAATATACAAAAAATATTCGTAATTCTAATGGCAACATTTAATGACAGTTTTATAAAATAAATATGAAAAAAACAATGTTTTAAAATGAAAATTTACAAGGTACAATGAACTCAGTATTTCTTTTGATGTTTCTTTGAAACTTGAGCCGCTAAGAATGAAAAGAAAAAATGTCGGGAAGGTCAAATAGAACCAAATTTTTCTTCGTGGAAACACTTAGTCAGCAGAGTGGCTACTTGAAATTTTGTATACATTTGAAATTCTGAATGACCGGAAACGGGAAACGTGGTGTGATGAATAGACACTCGTCTATCTTTTACGGCATATCTCACCATTATTATCGTAATTTACTACCTGAAAGCTCAGAAACACCTAAGATTCTTTATTTACTAAAGTACGTGCCGATGGGACTTTTTCGAAAAAATTTTCGAGACACCCCGCTATCTCGTTATTTTAACCGTGAATTTTCTTAAGATGCCGTATTAAAAAATCTGAAGGATCTTTTGTGAGAGTTGAAATTAAGTTTGACACCAATTCTCGAATATACTATTAGATCTCAGAGATAATCACAACGCACCTTTTCTTTTTCTTTTTCTCATTTAAATGCTGCCCTTGAGTGATTCTTAAACTGTAAAAATTCTCAATGACTCAACATTAAAATAGTTGACAATGGACAAAAAGACATTCATTTTTGCTCGAACTTTTCAAATACGGGTTTTTGCTCGAACTTTTCAAATACGGATCCTGTATAATATTTTTCTACCGTAACTAATATTAATATGTTCAAAAGCTTTAAAATGAGGCGGTACATGAAATTAAAAAAATAACACAAAAATTTTTTAAAATTGTGACAATTATATCACAAAATTGATCATAGTAAGTAACAATCGTATAAAAAATTATTATGATATCGCGCATTATTTATTTTTTCTTATATTTTATATTTAATAGCTTGTCTCATAATAACTTATTATTTCTTATCTAACGAACAGTAAAGTGAAACATATTTTAATGTAATTATTAATAATTTTTACTAATTAAACTATACACAATTCTTTCTTTATTGCAAAACATATATTTTGAGTAGATAAAAAAACATAGATTAGAAATATTAATCACTGAAAAAAGCTTCTTCATATTATATTAAAATTATGTATTTATTAACATTTACATTTAATATAATCAATAAATAAGTCGTGCTCTTTGATGATATTGTTCGAAATAACTCTCTCATCGAAACCATCTAGAAAAGAAGTCGATGGAATTTGGTGGAGAACACAATCGAGCCTTACGTTCATTCATAAGTTGCTACGAAAAAAGGCAGCAGGCTTCATAGGAACATGAATGAACGTAGTACACAGCGTAGTAGGGATCGGGCCCCGACAACGGGTGGGCTACCCCGGAATACATCTTTTAGCATCCTGATTCAAGGATCTTGTCGAAAAGAGGTCCTTATTCCCTAAAGCGCGTTTTCCATCTTTCTTCCCTCCTACCGTTTGCGGTATTTTGTCAAATGTGATCTAGACTTATTCGAGGCCATCAGCCACCGACGTCTTTTAAGAAAACTGTTTAAGATGTTATTTCAAGCTTAGCAGAACAATTTTAAGTCCACATTCCTTTTTGTTTATTAGCAAAATTTGTCTATGTGAAAACGATCAGAAATTCAGATTTTCGAAAAATTAAAAATAATCCCCTAAGATAGAATATAAGAATATAAGAAGATAATATAAGAATATAAGAATGTAAGAAGATTATCATAAGAATATGAAGATGAATTTTGAAATATGTTCATATCAATTCAAGAATTTTAAAAATAATTTTATCCGAGTTTTTTACAATATTTTCGAAGATACATGCTATTAAATAAAGTTTTATATAGTTACATAATTTTTAGCAATTCTTATAGCCAATAATAAGTGTATGTTGTAAGAGATATGTCTTATCTAAAGAAATCTTGATAAAAATTCAAAGAAAATTATGTGAAAAAGAGATATATGGAAATTATTTATTTGTTATTTAAATGTTGCAAAGTTTATATTTAAATCAATATCTTCCAAAATTTAGGACTTCTTTAAAAATGTTCCACACAAATTAATGCCTTCTTTCTTTTTTTATTTACAAAATATTTCAGAATTATTCTAAAGATTATTTTCATCTGATTTGTTTGATTAATTTTTCGAAGCATTTGTTTAACAAAAATATTGAAGCAGATTATCATTTATCGAAACGTTCCATTTATCTTTGAAAAATTTCTGCTCCTCACTCTTTCATATATCTTTGTGACTAATAATAAGAGAATCATAAATAGAAGTTTATTAAAGTGGAAATGTATTAAAGCAGATTATTACGAAAATCTTTTAAATGTTGCATGATTCTTATGAATGATAATTATAATTAAAACAAAATATAAAGTATGTGCAAGCACATGTAGAAAGAAAAATTAAGGCGGCGATATGTGTTAAATTAAAGAATCGTCCAATTCGACGACTTGCGATCTCGCAGGTGCAATGAATGGGGAAACGGTAGAATCGTATCGTAGTAGAATACGATTAATCCAAAATTTACGATGGAAACCAACAGGTGTCGGCGCACCGCGTGCGGCACCCTTTTGTTTCTCTCGTGTGTGTCCTGGCGTGTAACAAGGCGTACCACTCTACGCCGAAGGATTCGCCTAACCGATATGCGTGACTACTCTTAAATGTTCGCTTCCGGTTTCCGGTGCTATCCGTTTAATCAGATATGTTAATTGTCCGCATGAATGCGCGAGAAATCAGGTGATTCTTTTTGAGATTAATAATAGCTTTCCTTACGAAAAACGAATTAAATCAATGTAGGAGTAGATAATAAACTGACCTTATCTACTCTTCAATTAAATTAAATTAATTAAATAATCGATTAATTATACATTACTTTGTATGGTTATTTATCGATAATATTTGTTTAATTAATCATCGTAAGATTATTTATTATATTTTTTTATTAAAAAAGAGAAATATTTAATATTTGGAATAATATTATTTTAAGATTAATTGATCTCAAGGTAATAGAATTGTGTCTTTTTTTAACATTAAAAATTGCCATCTATATTTCTGAATTTTATTCGACGATGTAAGAAAATAATTGATAGCCAATCTTTAACTATAATTTTGATTTTTGCTACAAAACAGTTTTTTATTTTTAGTGAACTTTTTACCTGTAATCCTCCTCGTTGCTGATGTAATCCGGCGGTATCAGATGCCAGGAAGCGTCGTAACAATCATCGTATCCGGTTGCCATTTTTCTCACCTTCTTCTTCTCTTTTTGCTTTCCCGAATATGCCGGTTATGTGCTCAGCAGAAAAAGTTAAGAAATATCCCGCGGAGATCAAAAAAGTACCGTCAGCAGATACGTCAGAAAGGGCCAGAACAATTCTTCGTCAATTATCTCAGTGCGTACCTTTTTTTTCAAGAGACCAGCGTGATTTCATTATCTCATTCCTCGAAAATCCGACGTATATTTCGTGTTGAAGCATCGTCGCGTATCCACTTTGACTAATGACTTCACGCAAACTTTGTCTTCCGATGAGACAGAATACAAAGAAGAAAAGACGAAATTTCTGTATGCAACACGACGTGATTAATCACACATGTCGCAATTCTTTCGAAAAATAAATTTTGTAATATTTTATTAATATTGTTTGATAAAATCGAACAAACAATAACGCAATTTCCGTGAAAGATGTAGGAAGTAATTCTCGATGAAGTGAAGTTTAAAGATGCTCACTTTTTTTCTTAATGTTTTCGTTATATTCGTTTGAATGTATGTAAAAAACGATGTATTTGGCACTCAAATATGAAATTTAATAATGATGATTGGTAAAATAGAATTATGCCAGATTATTCTCGTTCAACTCATGATAGCCGCTTTACTGAGAACTATGTGGCGATATATCGATCAGCTATACATATATTGTATCAAAAATATGGCTACCTGATAGGAGCTTCGGCAACGTTATCTGCGTGATAACACCCTACATAGATTAGTTTGACTACCGCAAATCGGTAATGTCGAATAAAATGAAATATCATCGAGTCTTCTCGATGTTCTTCTCGTCTTTAAAAAACGAACACGCATCTGAATCGTCTGTATATTTCTCTAAATACAGACGCCTATATATATATATTTAAACAAGTTTCGCAAAAATTAATACTTGCTTCTTATCAATACTTGTTTTATTCGGTCTTAATCTTATGACGTAAATCGAAAAATCTCATTGCTTCTCAAAATAACATATATCTTAACTATATAATATTAAAAAATCAAAAAATATGTTTTAATAATATATACATTCTAGTGTCTCAAAACCATCTGACCTTTTAATACTTGCTTCTTATCGATACTTGTTTTATTCGGTCTTAATCTTATGACATAAATCGAAAAATCTCATTGCTTCTCAAAATAACATATATCTTAACTATATAATAAAACTATATTAAAAAATCAAAAAATATGTTTTAATATATACATTCTAGTGTCTCAAAACCATCTGACCTTTTAATACTTGCTTCTTATCGATACTTATTTTAATGATAGATTACATTTTCAATAGCAGATTTTGAGAAAATCAAAAGACGTTATCTTTTATTGCAACTTTCATCAAATCTTAAATTAAAATTTACTAAAATATCATTTCTAAATTGGCTAAGAAATTTTTTTATTATGAAGGCAGCGATTATATGTATTATATACACACGTAAAGTATATATTTTCCAATGTGTTACGTGTTTATATAATACACGTGTCACACTTTATTAGAAAGAGGACAACCTTTATCAGCCGTTTACTAGTCGCGCACAGTTATATATGAGGAAAAAAAAGAAAATAGTAAATTGCTATATCTATCACGTGCAAAATGATTTCAAGATATCACGATCGAGAGATAATAAATTGCCACGCTGGGATTTTCTGCCTAGAGACTGAGCTGATACAGCCATAACTTTAACAAATACGCAAACATATTTTTGTTATCATTGTTATCGATATTATTTCGTAATTATGTTTTTTTGGTTATTGTGCACTTCGATTTCAATCGTTCATTAATTATGATGTAATTATGATGATGATAATTAACATAAATTATCGTGTCGAGAGTAAAAACATCGATATGAAAAAAAAAGTTATAAAAGATAAAGAATAAAAAAATTTTTGAAAATAATATTGCGATTCGTGCACTGAATTGGATATGAGAGTAGCAATTGTAGAGAGATAATCGGCCAATTGTTGCTACTCGATCGTTTGTACCTCACAATTTGTTAATGACAAGAGACCCTCGAGGTGAAGTATCCGCGGCTTAACCGACAAGTGCTACCGAACGAAGCCTGCTACGAGTGCACTTGATAAAGTAACAATATTTCCTCTCACTATCTGTATTTCCTCTCACTTATTTATGCAACAAGTCATATATACACATACATACATATACACAGATTCAAATTGTTGCACAATGCAATTATCGCTGCAAAGAATGTCATTCGGCGGGAAAGAGAGAAAAAAAATCGTGTTATCTTGAAAAAATAATGATACTTGATGGTGAATGAGAGAGTATTGTTTGCGGGACAGAGATTTAATACATGATTACAATGATGTAATTTTAAATATGAGGTGTCTCGCATCATCACTTGGCGCAACCTCTTCGTTAAATTTCCAGAACGCCGTTTATCTATCCACTCTATGACATATGGGTCTAATCTTTGCTTATCATGGTTAAAGTGATAAGAGCGAGTTGTTGCACGTCGCAAAAAAAGCAAAAGAAAAAATTGACACGCTCGATATCTCTAATAATTTTATAAAAAGGTGGGACGCGAAGAAATTGCACGGGCCTTGTGATCGTAATTCGTATATATATAGTAAAGGATTGATATAATTTAAAATAATTTAATACAATTTTGAACGACGCAAAAATTTGTCGCTTAAGATAAGAGCTTCATTCCGAAGCTATCAATTATTTTGCCTACGATATTGATTTATTTTATCACCGATTATTGTCAATTGTGTACATTGTCAAGTTCCTTATATAGAGACGCAATATAGTATCGACATAATCGTTTCATCTGAGGCACATTAGATATATATAATTACGATCAAATAATTTATTATCGTAAGAACAAGTATACATGTTTTCTAACATATAACAGAAAATAACCTCAGTAAGAGTTATACATTTCTATTAATTATACATTTATAATTCTAATATTTATAATATTATTATATATTATAATTTCTAGCATTATAATAATTATAATATTTATAATATTATAATATATTATGATTTATATTATTATTTATAATTTATATATTATATATAATTTACAATATTTATAATAATATTCATGATGAAAAATGGGAAAAATATTAGCTATAATTAATTATAATAAAAGATTATAAATTACAAAATTATAAATTATATCGTTTTTTCGATGGTTTAGCGCGCGCATTTCTTATGTCTTCATGATCAAACTCAAAATAATCGAAATGAATAGAGACAACAGAGAATGAAGTTTCGATATATAGTTTCACATCGTTGTTATCATCATCAATATTCAAAAATGCGATCGTTTAAAAAGAAATATTGATAGACATATATCGTTATATTGCCAAAAAAAGATACACTATGATCATAGCTTAAAAAATTAAATGAAAAAGTTAGGTAATAATACTTTAACTAATGTAGAACGTTACAAACTTCTATTTTATATAACGAAATGAATTAAAATAAAAAGTGACGTGGAAGGAAGGAATATAAATTATTTTGTATATTTATTTCGTAGTCTTTTTTTAACATATAAAGAAAGGATGAAAAGTTTGGACATATTGTACGAGATATAATCATTGATTAAAATTGAATTTGTTTTATATCTATTAGCGATGGAATGTAAGACGTAACAATCATTTCTCTGTGTGCATGAAAGTTGTTATAAATAAACGAATGCATATTCAAGGAAACCAGTTTCAAGCAACAGTTTTAAAGATAACGCGTAGACTTTAGTCACATTTTCATACATGCCTTTTGCCTTTTACATTATCGAAGAAACAAAATACGCATAATTTACCATCAACAATTACATAATCGCCGAGATAGACACGATGTTTTGTCTAAGTACGATAATGTTTGGTGCGTACTTTGAACACACTGCTATAATTTAGAGGCAATCGTATTCGTTGTCATTTGTCTAGAAAAAGTTTCCATCAAAATCGGGAGTGAAGTTTATCGCTGGATCGTGTAAAAATAATCAAGAATTTCAAATCGAGATCGCGCTCCGTGATCGATAATCGTTAAATTAATTTCTCCATCGTATCTGAATATTACCTCGACAGTGTTATTCTCGAGCAAATACACTTTTCAAACGCATAAACTGCTCATGAACATTTATCGTTTTTTTTCTGTCATTTCGCGTGTGAACTGTAATTATTCTTGAAAGAGAGAAGGCGCAATTGTGTGTTCAAGAGAGCACGATAATGACAGCTTTGAATTGGTTTGAGTTTGAACGAAATATTCTAATAAAGAGAAAGAGACGTCAAAAAATATCAAAAAATTGAACGAAATATCTTGATTTTTTGAATCATTTTTCTACGAATAATAATTTCCGAGTAACTAAGATAACTCGACAATTTCATGATGAAAATTTTATACAAGAATGTATACCGATAGCTCGAGATATCTTTATATCTCGGCGACTGCGAGCGCTCGAACAGAGATATCTCTTATTCCAAATCATACTTAATCCTCGACAATTGCGTAACTATCGATGACGTTCGATATGGCGCATGATATTGTATCATTGATAATAATTGATTCTTTCCGAAGAGAAACTTTAAGCTTTTGTTTTTTTCTTTCCCGACCTCTTTTTCTTTCTCTTTCTTCCTCTCGTTGATTATTTTTTTTTGCGATTGCCGTGACTCGTGCGTTTACCCTTGTGACATTTACTCACGTTTGTGCTGCGTTTCTCGACGATCGCGCCATTGTTGGTCTCTCCGGACGTCTTCGACGTCTCTGTTAAAAGAGAATAAAAATCAGATCTTTTAAGACGATCTGAATAAATTAGACGATTTAGCGACGTAGCGAAGCCAGCTCATGCGAAGTGCGTAATTAACTGTGTACCTGAAATCATTGATGTTGAGATGAAATGTATTTCATCATTGGCAAACTTGTTCGCCTTTAGGGAATCTCTCGAGACACATTCTGGACATATTAATCATGTAGATATAATTAAGTTTATTTATTTAAAAACATGCGCAGTATACATGCATAATTTTATTTCGAAAAATCGTCAAATCATTTCGTTGAAAGACGTAATTCCATAACTTCCATTAGTGCTTCCATTAGTGCTTCCATTAACATTATACTTTCTATACAAAATTCTTAATGTTTTAAAATCACATAATTATATAATTAAATTAATCAAATTCAGAGTATATATATGCATACTTGTTCTTGTTCTCTTATAACTAAATAATTTCTCAAAACAACGAAGCAAACGACGAAGCAAATAAATATACCCGATTTATATTGTTCACGTGAGCATTTTAAGGTGGCAAGAGAAGTTTTTACATTTAAGTTTTTTCAACAAAATATTCTCTCAAAAAAAAAAAAAACGAAAAGTCGAATTATCTTTTCAATTGTGCGATTTATATTTGTGCTATTTATTATTTCAATGTGCTATTTATTGTTATTTATTATTTCGAACGTTCTCGTATAGCGGAATCACTGATAAGATATTCTAACAATAAGTAATATCAATATTTATTAATCCTTCAAAACTTAATATCATGTGCGTAATAAATAGTTTCATTAATATCACAATTTGTCTTCCATATTTCATTAATATTCAGAATATTCTATTTGATGATAAAACCCGAAAGGGTAATGATTTTGTATGAAAAATAGATCTTTCAAGCTTAAAAATGATGAATATATAGTATTAATTTTCAGATTCCAACAAATTTTATTCAGATTCCATTTCATTTTATTTAATTTTACTTTATTATTTATCTATTTTATTTATTTCTTTCACACAAAATCGTTATTATTTTAGTGAGTGTGCTTTGTTATAGAATTGTAATAGTCTGATAGACAATCTGTAATAATTATAACGATTATACAAACAATTATAACTAGTCTATAACTATAGACAAACAATTTTATACAAATACAATTATAGTTTATACAAACAATTATAACTAGTCTATAATAATTATAACTAGTCTATAACTAGTACTTTGTATAAGTTATATAAGTTATTTAGTTGTTACTAGTACTTTATATAAGTTGTATAAGTTGTATAAGTTTATACAAACAATTATAACAATTATAGTTTATACAAACAATTATAACTAGTCTATAACAATTATAAATAGTCTATAACAATTATAACTAGTTTATAACTAGTACTTTGTATAAGTTGTTTGTTATAGCCGTTTGTATAGTCATTATAATTGTTACAGATTGCCTATCAATCAGGATATTTTGTATAGTCGTTAATAATGCTAACCTTCAATAATATTGATAACAATCCATTGACGAAATTGGTATGCTCATTATATGTATATGCAATGCTACTGAATGATCTCTATACAATTATGATTTAATCAACAATTTTGCTGACATGGAAAGCGAATGCATATACAAGCGAAGTATGTGTAAGAAAAGTTAAAATGAAAAGAAGCGAAAAAAAAATAAATCCCGCGAAGCAGCCACACATAAGATGTAGGATCACTTACTCTCGGCGATTGACGCCTTGTCACTGTCTGAGCTGATCGGTGAGTAGAAGATCGAATCGCCCTCCTGGCTGGACCTGTCGGGCGTACAACACGTGGGCGAGTCGATAGTCGTGGACTGCAAAAGGTGCTCCTCTACCTTATCGCGGCTCTCTTCGGCGAGCAATCTCTGAATTCGTTGAACAGATACGCTGAACATTTACGCATCTTGATCTTAAAGAGCCGTAAAAAACACTCTTCGATATTCGATTTGCATCACGTACGAAAATTAGCATGTAAAACAGACAAATTTGGAAATATATAAATTAATTTTGAAAGAGATTTTATTTTTTCTTTACACGTCATTAGTTTTTCGCACTCTTTTTAAGGATAGAAAATCAGAACAAAATTTGTTTGTTGAAAAAATCGTGATGGCATGACTTTGTGCACTTTATCGCTCGTGTATTATGTGCTTGCTCCTAATTCGAATGACGCGAGGCAACCAAGAGATGGAGAAGCATCGAAAAGTCGATTTCTCAGCATCGACTTATTTCTGCTTCAACTTTTTCTACTGTTTATACTGTTTATACAACATATGGAATGATCGAAGAATCTTGGATTACCTGGTCGCAAACTTGCGCGGCAGCCCGCTCGCTAGCCTGGAACTTCTCGATTTCATTTTGCATTGCTGTTGTCCTATTAAACAGCACGTTAGCTTCTTTAACGATATCGCAAAGCTCAGTGGACGACACGTTACCATCGTTGACGTTATCGTCGTCATCCTCCTCGTTGCTCTTGTCGATGCTCGAACTGCTGCAATCGGCCGGCTGGAAAAGATGATAGTTGAAACGTGGCCAGATAAATCTCCCATATCGCGTGAAAACATGTATACTAAAAATATAAATGAAACGAACAGCATATAAAGTTTAAGACGTGTCGCGAGCTATCGAAGAAGAAAGGTCAAGTCACCGAGTTTCTTTCAAGTTTGCAAATTGAATATGATTGTGAATTCGAGACGACTTTGACGCGACTTCAATGATAAAAACGTTAACTATTTCACATAGCAAGTAAAGCAAGATAAATTATTTTTTATTAAAAATAATACAATCATTTACTGTATGAAAGAGGAGCCTAATTCTCTACTATTTTGTTTACATATTTATCTACAAGTTTCTATTTCAGTAATGCATCACGATTACTCACATCGAAATCTTCATCTTCATCGCTACTTTCCAAGGCAAGTCGATCGATCTTCTCTTTTAGAGTCTCTTCCTCCTCATTCTTTTCGTCCTCGGAGGAGGACGATTCACTGCAACTTGTCAAGTTTTCTTGTTTTTCCGTAGCATCTGTTGATTCCGTCGCTGATTTTTCTTCCGATGTTGTTGTTGTTGGCTTAAAAAAACGTCTCGTTGTTTCATTGAATAATCTTAATCTTCTCAAGAGAGTTTTGATAATACATGTGAACACCCACATGCAAAAGATCGTATTCATGAATGTTTAGAAATATAAAATCTCAGACATAGTATGCAAAATACCAAACAAGACATATACAATTAAAGATGACATCAATATTCGAATTAAAGATGGACATCAATATTCAATTTAAATATTCGACGAAAGTAGAAATATTTTTAGAAACTGATAATACACACATATAAAGAAAATTTTCATGCACATTTTAATATAATCGAATATCGTGGTTTACATTTGCGTGGAATCAATGACGGTTTCTACTTACTGCATCGGGATCGAGAACACTACTAACGTGAATTTTAGTAGGTGGTGGCGATGGGGTGGGTTTGGACATATCCAAACAAGACAAGCTCGATAAGGTCAGACGAATAGATTTGATAAGGGCTTTTCTGGCTTCGTTCATCGACGATCTTTCATCCTATACCCATCATCACAAGACTATTATTGTCCTAATCTCATTATCTCTTCGAAGAGCGAAATGTCTTCGCGTTCTTTATACATCAATCGGAAGAAGCGCGTATGTTCTTACCTTATTTTGTTTCTCCTTCATCCCGCTTTTCTTTACGTCATTCAGTCGTTTGCGGCTTATCTGCAGAAATTTTACCTGTCGGGAGAAACGTTTAGATGAAAGCGAGACGGATGATAAAGAGAATCGAAATATCTGAATAACTGTAAGTAGTAAAATAATATTTGTAAATTTTACAAAACTATTTTGTAATGGAAGAGCCAATGCTTACTTTATTATTTTTTTAGCGATGCGACAAAACGTTAAATTATATTATATAAAAGCGAGACGTACCAATCCACTCGGGGTAACTTGGGAGTAACCAATTAGCAAAGCGCCTGCGTTTACCGTCATCCTAAGTATACGTAGTATTATCAAGCTCGGCAAGAATAAAATCCACGGCAACGGTCTCACGAGTCCCGATTTTTTCTTATTCTCGTCTGAAATAAGCGAGTTCGAAGCATAAATCTACGATTGATCGCACGATATTTACGAATCGTACCTTCATCGAGGTCAATCTCCTGATCAGATAGGCTCCATTCCGCACACTTCTCCACGGTCCATAGAAAGTTGTTCATAAGTTTCAGTATTGTCTGACCCAATGAACTTTGCACCATGACCACTTGCAGAAATTTCAATTCCGAGCAGACGTAATAGTTTTTCGGAGTCTTCTTCGTTGTCTAATAGACGAGAAAACAACATAATTTGTTCGATTAATCGACTGGTCATCGATGTATATTTTTGTGATCTTGAAATACTCACTGTGCTTGATGAACTCTCGTATTTCGTGGCCATGTTTATATCGAGAAATAAAACAGTGCTGAAAAAAAATATTAAAAAGAATATAAACAATTTATTCACAAATTTAATTTTAACATTATATGAGTTGAATACAACTGCGTTATATTAATTATTAAATATTAAATACTAACTATTAAATATAAACTATTAAACTATTATGACGTTTAGAACGTATAATAAAAACAGAATAAAAACAGAATAATAGAGAAAATAATAATAATAATCTATCGCGAAAAAATACACTTTTTTCCCGTAGTATAAATTTTCTATTTCCTATAAAACTTCTATAAATCTATCTGTTCACAAGCAAAGATTTTTGATCATGTACATTGATATAACTATTTATAATTAATATTCTTTTTCAATGATAGAAGAATCGTTCTAATAATGTTTACATATTGGAACGATTCATCGATGACCGTCGACAATCTCTCTTTCTCATCTCTTTTAAGTTCAACTCAATTCCTAATGACTCAGATACACAAAATAAATAATAAAGAAAACGGCGATAAATTGCTATCGAAAAGGCGCGACCTCGCCTTATCAGGGCGAAACGCCAAAAGAAAGCCTAATAACGGTATATTCTCATTGCAAAATACCATACATAATAATCACTGGCAAAATGAATTTTTAAAACGACAAGTAAAATATCTTTAAAATTAAACGAGAGAGAAAGAATAAGGATGATGATTTTTGTGGAATGGTTACAAACATATTTTAATCTATTTTTTTAATACATTTAATTTTTAATAAGATTAATTCTGCTTTCTGCGATTGCAACAACAATTTTTTGTAATATCAAACATCGTGAAAACACTGATGATCTTACAAATTCTTACATTCTGCATGCGCATAACACATAAGTGCACAGGCAAAGTAATTTACTGACCAAGCAACTTTTTTGATTCTACTTTATCAACGACATTTTCTTCATGTATACAAAGTTCACATGTAATTTAACAGATAAAAACAATTTAATATAACTTTTTCTTTCTTGGGTCAAATTCAATGGCAGGAATATTACAGCATAATAATTTGTCACGATGGATGCTGAAAGCATTCAAGAAATAATATATATACGAAAAAAGAGAGAAAGAAAGATTAAAATAAATTATATATTAAAATGTTTAATTGCGCAATTTTTATTTATTCTGATAAATTTGTTATGTAAAATTAATGGATTTAATTAGTAGTTGGATTTTTTAATTGTAGTCAATATTTATATGTGATATCGATACTATCAGCAGATTGGTGACATTGAACTTTGAACAATTGAATTTTCTCGAGGTTTTTTGTTTTAATTTAAAATTTTTGAAGTTATATGTGTGATCTGAGAGCAAAATAAACATGCAAATAATATAACATATATATAATACATTTGTTCTCTTCGAAATTTCGCGAATCCAAATAGTAAATTTTAGAATCCATTAATCTCATATACAAGCAATAATAAAGAATTGTGTCTGTGAAGTGTCTAGCACAAAAACTTCCACAATTGGATTCTAATATTGTCTTATTCACTTACATTATTTTACATTCGGTTATTGTTTATTGTAGTTACAGTTAAGTGTTTAGTAATTAAGTGTTTGCGCTTTTTCAACTTTTATTATGTTTTCGTTTGATTCGTAGGCACCCAGTGAGAAATGACAAGTCGGATAGACGTTTGTTAGACGTCTAAAATGTCTAATAAACGTCTATTGGACATCTATTAAACATCTTAGACGTCTATTCGACTTATCATTTCTCACTGGGCAGGTTTTGTTGATTGTCAAAAATCTCACGTGTTCACCAGTATAATATAAAAATATCTCTTGATATATATGTGTTTGTAGAATTAAATCAGAGCAGTGCAAAAAGTATTTTATCAAAATTTGTTAAAACACCAATTGTTATATATTATATGTAATCGCGGTTCTACTTTACTTTTGAAAATACATTTAGAAAAGTATATATATTTATATGTAAAATATATATTTATATGTAAAATATATATTTTTGATCAAGATAGTTTGTCACAAATCACTTATCAAAATCATATATTAATCGTTTTCTAATATATGTGTATTCCTGTTGTTTATAATTATATTATTTAATTGTTAACAACGGTAGCAACATTTTTTCATAAATATAGAAATTATTAAAATTTAAATAATAGTAATATAAATTATTAATTATAAATATAAATTATTCTCATCTTTTCTATTTATAAATCGATTATTTAATTCGGCAGCACTATTAGTATTTTGTGTATCGATGACTCAATTCGCGATTTTCGATTTAATGTTTAGGTCAGAAAGGACAGATTTCGAAATAACATCACACTGATCAATATATAAATTTCCAGTTGAGTGATCTCAATACTAGTTATTCTTTATAGCATAAGTCACGATTTAATTCAATCTTTCTTTGATTAAAAATTCATTATATATACAAAATCTTGCCGTTAAAATATATGATATAATAATAATAATATACCACACATAATAATGTATTACACGTATGCGTACTCTTTTTCCAAAGCACAAAAAACAATAATATAAAAAGCTTTTCCATCGATTATTTTAACGAACATCTATCCGGAAAGTGTTATTATTTATCTGTCTTCAAATTTAACTCAATATAATTGATTACCTTATTAAATGCGAAGAACTTTTTTCTCCTTCGGATTATTGGATGACGAGATATTATAAAGGCAAAGAATGGATGAAGGTAACGATTGCTGTTGCAAACAATAATCTTTGCCACGCGGCCACGTAATTCTACTCAACGTTCTAGACCGGTGGTAGTGGAAGCTGTACTCCTGACGAGTACTCGATTACACGCCGAGACTCTCACGACTGCGATATGCTCAGAACGAACGGGAGATCAGAAGTTTCCAAGCTTCATCGGACAGTGGCGTAACAATTTTAACCAGTATTTAAATAAGTCGTCGACTTTTCGGGGCCCAAAAAGTGTATCAAGTTTATGCGATGCATTTTTTCTTCGATGCTGTAGATTCTGTGTGCAAATTTATAATAAATTACAATAATATTGCTAGCAAAATAGCAGAGAAAAATAACATTGATTTAAAAAATTACAGGATTCAAAGGAAACTAAAATTTATCGACATTACAGTTAATTTCTCGCCTAGTAAGTTGAAAATTAAAACATGTATATATATGTGTGTATAAACTGTTGTCCCAGTTTCTATTTTTTATCCTTCATATCTATTATTCGTAAAACGTAATTTTTGGCTTAGATATTTATAGTCATCTTATTAATCTTTTATACTTTTTGCAATTATATGTAAAAGAGCTTTGCTGTTACATCATGTTCCTATTATGACATTAATTTTTATAATTGATAATTTATCTCTGATAGACAACTCTGTCTTTTGCAGCAAAGATGTTACTTAATTCTACTCGCGTAATAGATTTCATGATTGTAATTTAAAATTTAAATGTAATTAATTGAAATTTAATTGTAATGAAAATTCAAAAGTTTGCAATCCCTTTTTTTGTTGCGAAATAAATCTTAATTAGGACTATAAAAAAAATTCCGATATTTTTAATCGCGCAAAAAAAAACTTTATATGATTCAAGGATTCGAAAACAATCGGCATTCTATTTCTCCCTGTCTCGGATCGATTTTATTAAACGTTTATTACATCGGCAAATTTTAAATTTCGAAGCACATATGCGCACATACAGAGCGATGAACAGAGCACAAGCCAAACACTGTATCCTTTCTCCTCGCTAAAACTTAGTCAAGACTTAGTAGTACGTAGTGCGAATTACATTCTAATCAGACAATTATTATTCACAATATGACTGACGCTCCTTTCGTTTGAATTAATCTTACTCTTACGTGATCAATGTCTCGACAATTGAAATCAATAATGTCGAAAGCGCGCGCGCACACACACACACAGACAGACAGACACACACACACACAGAGACACACACATGCTAAAAACACATGACCATTCACGCAAAACATATCATACTTCTTTCGCACGTTGTCCCTCTCACTCGCGTCTGCTCTCAAATAGTGTAATTTTACAGATTTTGTTTTTTTTATGAAAATGGAATACAGCTGCATCGTAATCGGTGACATTTATTGAAATGCTTTGTACGATTCAGAATATTTTCTCAGAATCTCAAGAGTTCACCGCATTTTAAGGCCATTCTTCACATCTCGACAGATTCATGGAGATGTATACATGATTATTTTTTCTCTAAAGTCGATTTGTATACGGAATAAACGTTTTATAGACGAGTATTTTTCTCAATATAAGTTTTAACTTTAATTAGTCTTTCAAATTTTTACAATTCAGTAATATTGAGCGCATAAGCGTGCCATTTTATTTCGCAACCTGCTTTCACAAAGCGCATACGGTTTCATTTATTGAAAAATCAAAATACATAATCCTTATATCCCTACCAATTACACAAGAGCTTCTGTGTTGACCAGACGTAGAGTAGAATGTTGATAAGCGAAATTTAATTTTAATCACTAACATGATTTTTATACAAGAGTAATTTCTACCGACAGAATAAAAGTTTATTCCTCAGCATAAAATCGCTGAATACATCGGCCACATTAGAGAGCACACCGCACAAAGAAAACAAGTCGAACGAAGATTGAATAGCTCTGGGTTGAGTCTCTCAACAGGATTAACATTGTGTAGATAACTACAAATAGATTTCCAAAGATAAACTATGAGAATGGGAATAAGGAGCTTCGCGCGACTCGTTATCTCGATACAAACTTAATACATTTACAAACAAAACACGCATTAAAAAAAAGTGTAATTAACGTAAATCGCTACATAACAATGCGGATGCAGATAACATTAATAGATATCGATATCCCCATAAATTTATAAGAATTTGTCATTAATTTTAGAAACTCTACCACATCGTAACGCTATAAGGAAATGTAGTAACTTGTGAAAGTTTATTAATTGATTTTCTTTCTAATTTTCTTCTTCTCTTTCTCTTACTCTTATCCTCTCAACAATTAGAACAAGTTATTCAAGTGCACTACTCGACTTTTGTCTATCCTAATGTCGTGCAAATCTTGATTTCGGTGAATTTCATTTATTAACGAAACAAATGCACACACACAATCCATTAAAACTGCTGAGTTTGTTGATATAAAGTAGCTTAATAATTATGCAAGGGATATTCTGATATTGATTCGCAGGCATAGTAAACCGAAACGCACTTGGATAATTTGTTGTTATTCATTTCGATTACATCCGTAAATAAAAAAGGTTAATATTCTTCCTCATCATCGGGCGCAAGCCCATCCCCTTCCAATTCCTCGGGTGGCGCGAAACCATCCTGAAATGATATAATGAATATGTTGTATATTGTATTTATCCGAGAGAAAATATTTCTTATATAATTATAAAGTTATTCTGCAATATAATAATCTTAAGTAATATAATAATATAGTCTTATTAATATAATAATGCAATATAATAATCTTAAATAATCTTAATTTTGTGTACATAATTACGAAATATAAAAATATCAATAAACTTCTAATAAATAAAGCATCTAAAGATAAATTTGTATGATTTTAATTACATTAAAAAAATTATTTTTCTACTACAGTTAATTTAAGAAAAGAACAAAAATACAAAAAAATAGAACATTAAGTTAAATTTGGAGAGACAAAAAATGAATTTGTCAAATTAAATGGTGGTTATTACAATAAAGATGGTAATGCATAATCTAATTACTAAAATGTAAATATTTCTAAAATTTCAAATACAAAGACATACATTATATAAAGACATGAGGGCTGTGTGTGAAAAGTATTGATATTTATAGTACACAAGATATAATCGTGCAATTAATTGAAAATTTTATGACACATTTAAAGAATTAAGTTAAATTGTAAATTATTAAATGTAAATATTATAAAATTAGATGTAAAATATTTTTATTAATCAGTGTCATACATTTTTCTTAATCTTTTTCGTTGTATATTAATTACGAAATACAATTAAAACAATTAAAACGGTCTTATTACCTTATTAGAAAGAACGCGCCTGTTACAAACATATAAAAAAAGGCGTTTATAGTTTCATTGCATCCGTCTTCCGTTCTATTAAATTCTGGATATCCTATAATATTATAGCATCATAGTTTTGTATAAGCCTTAATTAAAATTCTGTTTTTAGTTATCAATCTTTGCATATATAAAAAAATAGATATTTAGTGCTTTATTTAATTATAATGAATAATTAAAATGTGTCAGTATTTTTTCAATAAATAATAATTTTATAGCTCTCATGTCTTATACGAGATTCATCAAGTTTATTAATAAAAATAAAAGTAATAATTTTTTATAGAATAATTTTGATATTAATTATACTTATTTAAAAAATTATTATTTTTTAAATAATAATGTTTTATATCACATTATATAGTGTACAACATTAATTGTACTATAATAAACAAATATATAAATTATTTGTACTATAATAAAAATTATAATCAAGTAAATTGAAAGGAACAGTATAAATTACCTCTGTTGCATAAAGGACTTCTAAAATTTTCTGTACAATAGGTGGAGGATCGCCGCCATTGTCGCAATCTTGACACATGACTTCAATGTCACGTAATTTTCCAAAATAGAAATCTCTCTCCTTTTCTAGGCCTTCGATTGACATCTTCATCTCAACCAACTGAAACATTTCACAAATATTCATTAGAAAGACAACGACAAGATATGTAGGATATATATTTTTCTATAAATATTTATTAAATAAAATAATTGTGTATAATGTACTATGTACATTACATTTTTCAATACCTGTGCATTAAGTTCTTCAATCTTTCCAGTATCACCACGATTGCCGATTACGGTGGTTTTAGGTTGCGCACGGTACGGTGGTGTGACTTTATTTACTATAGATTTAAAAAATATATTATTTTAAAATACTATGTTAAAATATGAATTATTATTATTATTTGTATTAATATGAATGGAAGCAATTTGTATCACAATTCGAACTTATGTAAAAATTAACGAAATTATAGATCTGATATATACAAGCAAGTTTGTGAAAAGCAAAAAAATGCATGCAATACTGTGTTCAAAATCATGCATAGTACATGTATGTTACATAAATGTAATAAGATATCTTACAAAAAAGAGAAATATATACAAAAAAATTAAAATCTATTATCTAGAGAAAATCTATTATCTAAAGAATTGCAAAACAAATGTTTTTAAAGAAATAGAAAATGATTCTCATTATTAGACCTTAACTTGTACAATATAGCGCATTAACAAGTATTGATAATGATACTAGCTACAGACTAGTGTTAAAAAAAGTAATCATCATAGACTAGTGGAAGGCTACAATAATTGTTTCAGAGTTCACTTTGTGTGAGGAGACAATATTAACTACATGTAAAATATTTCAAGTCTTATTCTCGATCAATTACATGTTCATCGAAATTTTGTTCCTTGTTTTAATACTTATTTTTTTCACATATTGCAATAATATCACAGTGGACAACAATGGAACCACGATTCTCTGACATAATCACTGAACATAGACTAGGAACACATTAAAAATTTCATTTTTTTTACCCCATATTTTTCTCTTTATATCAGTATCAAAACGTATACAAAACTAAGTAAAACGTGTAAATAACGAGAATTACAATTAAAAACGAAAAAAGATCGAATTTCACCTAAAACGTTTGTACTATCTGGACGCATGGAAGATGGATGTCCCTCACCTAAAGGCAAATTCCATTTAAAATTATTGATGTTATATTGTGTAATAACTCATAATTGAAACTTCTGTTGAAATAATGGGGAAAATCATGACTCCTATTCCTACACAAAATTTTTCATATAGGTAAGATATGGACTATCATTATCATATTTCTTGTCAAAGAAGTAATATCGATTTGTATTCTACCTATATGAAACACACTGTATATCACAGAAATTTCTAATAAAATGATAATTTAATAGAATTTAATCTTACTGTATTCATTCATGTAATATTAATAATAACTCGCCTGTAGTAAAATCAGTCAGATAGTCAAAATAGACACATCAAAAGGCAATCAAGTCAATAATTATCGATTAGTAGAAATCTGTGTTAATGTACAAGTTTGAAGTACTTGAGAAAAGATTATGTTTCATCTTATTCTCTTTAATATAATTAAGATTCAAACTTTATATATATCAGAGAGGGAGATCATTAAGTGATGTACCAGTAGTACGAGGAGCAGGCTTAGTCGAATTTACTGGTTCACGTGGAGAAGTACGTTTCGCATTAGAACCACCACGAGGTGCATTATTTCCGCCGCTACCCATAGGCTCTCCGCCTCGCATAGTAAGCGCATCATAATCTGCTCCCGAGTAGTTTGCATCAAAGAACTTCTTGAACCATTGTAAAAACTCAAAGTTGTCTTGGAATCTGCCTTTCACCAGCCTATCAATTGGCACAATCTGCAAATGAGGAGCGTGTGTATGTGCAACATAAAATAAAATGTAACAAATGTGAACAAATTATGCCAAATGGATGATGCAAATATGACTTTACACAATAAAAATAACCGTTTTTAACATAATGTTGCAAGAAAGCATTATGTTTTTATGGCTATAATACTAATATATATGAGGAATGAAATAATAAAATTAACATTAAACACAGAAATACATTGTGTGATTTTGTCTTTTACAATAATTAATGTAACATATCATTGTATAATATATTTTATAAAAATCAAATAAATAAATTTCTTCTATTTCCTTCTTAACATAATCTTTTGCTCCATATATAAAGTTACTATTAAAAATAAGTTGTTCTGGAATTCTTCCTCTTATTCTATAATAAGTCAAAATGCACAAATGCAACAGAAAAACTTAAAATATCTTATGCTTAAATATTAAAAATTATTTCATATAAACGCATATATTAACAATTTATGTACATAAAAGTATATCACATATCTCCCTTTTATCATATACTGTCAAATTAGATAGATTTCTGTGAGATTTTTGCTACATTTTCTTATTGTTCTTAATATGGAAAATTAAAGAGTGCATATGTGAGGTGAAATACATATGTTTTTGTGTGATATTATAAAAATAGCTTATAATACTTAATGCATATTAATTTAAAATAATATGAAATTATAGATACTAGATTGCAATATACTATACTATTGCAAATAATTGTATATTAAAAGTTGCCGTATGCGTTTTTAAAATACACATGTGCGTGTTTGTATATGCAAGTGGTGTGTATGGGCATTATTGTTTATACAGAAATATTACTTAAACATATCATAAACGACATGCAAGAAGCGGCCGCGTAAAAAATCGAGATTGCAACGATATACCCTGCTGTCGTACAACGCTGTTACGTTGCTGTATGTGTTTTTGTTGTATTTGCGGCTGCTTCGATTGCGGCGGCAAAGGTACCAACTGGGGATTCGACAAATTGTGCGTTCCATCCACGCCAGAACCTAACGGTATGCAGCCGCGTGCCTCGTAAGCGTCGTATTCACGACCGTCGTAATTCGCGTCGAAAAACTTTTTGAACCACTGTAGAAACTCAAAGTTATCTTGAAAGCGTCCTTTTATCAGCTTGTCCACCGGTATTACCTGAACCATTCCCATATGGCCATATCATTACGATTTCCTTCATTCACATAGATTGTTCTGCCCATAATATTATCACATTCGCGAAGCAATCTTAGATCTTGATAATAATTTATATTTTACACATATTATATTTCAAAATATAATTTTCATACGTAATAATACTTTATCTATTTATACATTAATACATTATTTCTTGTATTCATTTAATATGTTCTTGAATATTTATTTTGTATTTGTTTTACAATCCCCTATCATTGTTAGTAAACAGAAAGGACATAAGAGAGATATATAATAATATTATATACTTCAATGTAATTATTTTTAAAAAACTACTTTTATATAATATAATCTTTCCCAAATGTAATTTTTATTATTACCAGATATATCCTCTTCACATGTGTTTGCTGTCCTCAAGATGTATTTATCAAAATTTATAGCAGGAATAAAAGAAGATAATTGCTTACTTACCTTATCCACATTCATCTTTTTGAAACCACCTTGAAGAATTTTGAAATTCTGTATATACTCGTGCTCCAGATTGGTCTTGAATTTGACTCTTTTCAAGGGTACGCTGCCCGGAAAGAGCATGTCCATGAATTGACAGTAAACTGCTCCGGTGCATAATTCTTCGATTTTGGTGAAAGATGATTGTAGACAGTCGTTTACCCATGCCAGCATATCGTGGCGACTGAGGTTGTCAGATGTCATATTTGTGGCGTAGACGTTAACAGCCATGTTGTTTCGTTTGCTCTAACTAGAAAAAATACATATATACATTGCGTATGTATTTATATATACATACATACATAATATATACAAATAATTTAGCAATATTAATGGAATTATAAGATTGTGGCGCAATAATTAAACATATGTGTATGTGTTTTATATATATATATATATATATATTGCAGTCAGTCTTAAATTTAATATGACAGTATATCATATCATCGTTATCTTAGAGACAGAAAAGAAATACAATTAAAATCGCAATCGCGATTCACGCAGTCGGCGTGTGATGTCTGTTATAAATAAAGTCAGCGATCTCCTTGACACGACAAACACCGATATACGTCGAATTCGGCGTGATAAGATGCAAGAACACGCGATCCAGCGAGATCAATTGAGCGATCGAGCTCGAGAGGATCTCGAGGGGGACAACATTCCATTGACTTTTTTTCCTACGAAACTGTCTCGCGTTCGCGACATATTCGGCATTCCTTATCGGCGATTTCGGATCGTCCGTATTCGTCTCGCTCGGGACGTACCTCGCGGGAACAAGGAGACTCGTTCGCACCCGAAGCCCTGACGGTTCGGAGCGCGTCAAACGTCAAAAGCAACGACGACTCACCGCGATATCGCGGAAGGAGAAGAAACAGCGGATAACAACAGCGAGAATCGGGAGTGGTTCCTCGCGGGTGACAAATGTGCACTAGATCGTTCAAACGCGCACACAACGGAAACTTCTAACGGTTCCCCGGCGCGCGATTGGCCGGCGTGATTGGCCGCGCGCGCGCGCGCGCCTCTTCACGTACGTGGTAGATGGTGCGGACGATGGTGCTTTCGGTGTCACCCGACGTGTAGATTCGACGCCTCGAGAACGATGAACGTAGGATGCGGAGGCTTGCCACACCACGTGGAGACAGGAGCCGAGAACGAGGAGATTCGCTCGACGTGGAGACGTTAATCCGACAAAGGAATACGGCCACAATGTAGACAGTGTGTAGATGCGTGCGATTTGCGATTATCGATTTAAAGCCTCGTTCACAGCGTGCCGATTATGTCAGATATCACACTGCATACGAGATTCGGCATCCAATGGGAGGAAATTTTTTAGGGGATTTTAGCTAGAACAAATTCTTTGCAAACGAATAAGGAAATAACTAATTCGATTAGCGCGAGATGTAAAGAGAGATATGAATAAAAATATATAAGAGAAATTAATTGCGCGAAATTATATAAATAAAGCGAAATTGAATATATCATAAACATAGGGCACTAAAAATTGTCAAAAATTATAACTTGGCGAGTTTTGCATCTATGTAATGTGTAGTTTATATTCTAAAATATATTAAATAATTTTTATTATGTTTTTATCAACCTGTGTTTTTTTTAAGTATACTACACCTTGAATGAAGATTCGATAATATTATCATATCAAATATGCTACCAATTAGATTTATCTGATCTTTTTATTTCATTTGCCTTTTTTGTCTAAAAATTTATCCAATTGCATAATTACATATAGTATAAAAGTACAGAAAAATTAATTTACACATAAAGAATGTAATATTTATATTAGACTTTATACTCATTTCATTTATATCTATTTTGATATGTAACTAATGCATATTTGAATAATTTGTAAGTTATTTTAAAGAATAAAATAAAAAAATTTGTATGAATAGCAAGAAAAAAACTCATCATGTATATTAAAAATATTATTTAATTATTTCTTATTTTACTTTTCTCACTCAAATAAGCTATCAAATATTGTGAATATTAACTGGAATTGTTATTTAAATTTAGACTTATAACTTGCACGATTATTTATATTTTGCTAATATTTTCAAGTAAATAACAGAATTATACAAGTGTCTTGTAAGACATGTAATGTAGAAAAAAGTTATAACTGTGAAATTTTTTTTATATTTAAATATATTAAATAATTTTCCAGCTTCGTGAGAAAACAATAATTACATATAATTTTCAAATATATATTATTTGTTATGTTTATTAATCATATATTCAACAAACCTAACTCTTCCATTTAACGTGTGGTAAGCGCAACGCACTTTCGGCATAAAAATATTCTTCCGATTGAGGTTGCAATTTTGCTTTGTAATCCATCAGCATCATGCGGTCCCCTTGTTGTACAAATATCTATAAAATTAACATAATAAAAATTAACTTTATAGTGTGTCAATGCATTCTTTGGCTATAAATTTCTTTTTTTATAAAAGTATACATACATCGATTACTATTGTATGGCAAGATAACTTTTTTGCCAACTCCAATCGTTTCTCTAAATTGTCGACAAATTTCAAATACTTTTCGAGAATGGCGCATGGTGCATTGTGTTTGTACAGTACTTTTAAAATATCTTCTATGTACAAATGTGTTTGTAGCTTTGTATTACCAAGTATTCTCTAAAATATAATTGATAATAAAACATGACTTTAATAGGCAGATTATGAAATATATAAATAAATATAAAATATTAATAAATATAAAACATATTACTTTTGTTATAAGTAAACGATCAATGTCGTCCCATTCACCATAGGCAGCTTTAACTTGTAAAGCGACTTTTTGATATAATCTAGGAGAAATGTCATGATTCTGAGAGAGCATTGTAGGTGATATCACAACAAATGTATTTGGTGTATTATAATGATGTTTGCATGCATAATGCAAAGATTCTTGAATAGAAGAATTTAATGGGAGCTCTTCATTATCCGTTTTCTGTTTGATTGTCATTTGCCATTCTACAACAATTCACAGTGTATAAAAAATCAGTATAAAAATAATTTGTTATATTGTAGGGAAAAAGGAAGATTGAAAGCATACCTAACAACTTAATGTAAGATTCCAAAAACGTGGCTTCTTTACAATCAGGTAACATGGCAAAATGTGCTTTCTGACAATTTTGAAGTTTTTGCAGCAATCTGTTTGGATCTCTTGTGTTTCTTATAATAATATGAAGATTCTTCATCTGTAGTAAACAATAGTATAAATATTGTGACATAATTTATATAGTAAATATAGTATAGTAGTAATACATACAGCAGCAGTCAAAGAATGACCAAGCATTCTGTAAAATATCACATGTAAAAAAAATAACGGTAATTTTCAATTAATGGAATGCTAAGAAATTACTTACGTCAAAATATCAGTTATTTCATTTGTTTGCAGTCTTATAAAAAGATAATGTATATATATATTAACTGCCTCTGGTCTCTCTATTAGTAATCTTTGCACAAGTGATCGTTTCAAAGTCTTTGTAAGAAATAAAATTATCTGCAATATTATAATCAAATATTGGTATTAAATGATACTCATAAATTTTGTTAACTTTATGACTAAAATATTATATGTTGTAGAATTGTTATTTTAGTTATATATACTATTAAAACAGCATTTCCATCTCCGCTTAAAATAGCAGCATCTAATAAAGCAGTTTTGCTAGCAAAAGACTTGTATTGTTCTAATGAGTATGGCTGACCAAGCAATATCTTTCTTAAAGTAATATCTGGTTGCTCAATAGCTGTTTCTGTATTTATATTTTCTAACTTGTCCGCAGCTAAAACTGAAAGATTTTGCATTATATAAGTATTTTTGTTATATAACATTGAGATTTTTCAAGATGAACATTTCTTTGACAACGTACTGCATGAAAGTGTCTTTTCAGATATGATCGAGAACAATGGTTTTGTCGTTTGATCATCGGTAAATCTAAAACTATTTTCGGAAAGTGATCTATTTGAGATCCCAGCCCACAATTTTTCAGTTTCATTCTTCGATACTCCAAACAATTGATCCACCTGCAATTTGATCCATATGAAGAATTCGTTATCACAATTCATCTTGATTATTTTTTACCTCATTGTTTTCGAAGCAGAATGATCGCTTCTCGCTGCTGAGCCAAAATTCATCATCGTCTTTATCGATGTTCATTTTAAAATATGTCTCGAACCGTACCTGCTTCAATAACCTTATCAAATTTTAAATGACAGATGGATAAACAAAATAAAATAGTTGACATTTCTCAATGTGGCATTGATGAATTATTAAAAAGATATGAACTGTCCAATCTCTTTCTACATGCAATATGGCGTCTTTCATTTTAGATCTGTGATCTGTGATTGGTGGATTTTACTAGGAAATTTTATCACTAAATATTCTGACAACCAATCTGATCATTCAAATCGCTTTTCCTAATTTATCTGTTAAGTTACCTTTCTACTTAATTTTCTTTTCATAGATTCAACTGTGATGCGTAATAAAAATATTTGATTGTGATTGGTCGATTCGTCGTTTATGATTTTTTTACATGTGAATGGTCTTTTGACTCCCCATTCCTTACTTTCCATTTCATCCACCTTCGTCCAACATGTCGACAATCGAGGTGCTTGGTTGAATTCGCCATAATATATCCTGGAAATCCAGAGAGGACAAAAAAAGAAATTGTTTCAATCACAATGTCTTTAACAAAGTAAGAAACGCTTTTATCTTTTTATATTATTTTTCTCAATTATTTCATCGACAAACTTTTCGCAGTTTCAAATATTAAATTTTTCATTTTTTCACATTTTGTTGTATGAATGACGTAGAAAAGAAATAATTTTAAATTAGACATATAAATCTGAAAACGTGTAGGATATTTATCTCCTCTGTTTGTAATAAGTTTTTTTTTTTGCAATTAGTTTGTTACCCGCTCCTACCCAAGTGGTATGGGACAAAGACGATGAAGCACGTGAGCAAAAGTTACGCCAAAGACCTGTCTCGGCACTGGTTAAAGCAGTTGTCACAGCACCACCTTATGGACAACGGAGAGGATGGGTACCACGCAATCCAGAAGTGAATATTTACTCCAATTTGTCAATAAACTTTAGGAAGAAACATTTTCTTATCGATATAATTTATATAAATAGTATTTTTCTACTTGATTAAATCAAAGATATAATGAATGATGCTTTCAATATACTAAAGTATAATGCATATATATTATACATTATGCATAGGACTTTGGAGATGGCGGAGCATTCCCAGAGATTCATGTTGCACAATATCCACTTGGAATGGGGATGAAAGGCAAGGAAATCACAAGTAATGCATTGGCAGTACAACTTGATGCTCAGGGAAAAGTAAAATATGATCTCATAGCGAGGCAAGGCCACAGTAAGGACAAAGTAAGCTTTAGTCTTTCCATGATTATATTTAAACATATTCCTTTTTTCTATGTTAAATTTACTATTTCAATATTTGATTTTTTCTTAATAGATTGTTTATAGCAAATTGAGCGATTTGTTACCATCTGAGATTACAAATGAAGAAGATCCTACCTTGCAACGACCACCTGATGACGAACTTGATGAACTCACGGATAGAACCAAAAAAGCACTGGAAAAAATAACAAGATCAAAGATCGCAGCCGCCATGCCGGTGAGATGCGCGGAGAAACAAGCTCCGGCGCAATACATACGATATACACCCTCACAACAAGGCCAATCATTTAATTCCGGAGCCAAACAAAGGGTTATACGTATGGTAGAAGCCCAAGTGGATCCAATGGAACCACCAAAGTTCAAGTATGTACAGAAAGAGTAAAAATGACTTAATTGTAGAAATTGTTTATAGTTTAATGTATAACAGATATATATATATATATATATATATATATATATATATATATATATAAACCTAATGGATTAATAAAAAGATTTATAATTGCAGGATTAATAAAAAAATTCCACGGGGGCCTCCATCACCTCCAGCTCCTGTAATGCATTCTCCAACAAGAAAAGTAACTGTGAAAGAGCAAAAAGAGTGGAAAATTCCACCTTGCATTAGTAACTGGAAAAATGCAAAGGTATTTAGAAAAATTTTATGTCCAGTATATTTTGATACATATAAAAAAATAATGCTGACATGTAATAAGAAATACTTGATTTCTTCAGTGATTATATAAAATTGTTTTTGATTTTAGGGTTACACAATTCCTTTGGATAAACGTCTTGCTGCAGATGGTAGAGGTTTGCAGCAAGTACACATTAATGAAAATTTTGCAAAATTAGCTGAGGCTCTTTATATTGCTGATAGAAAAGCCCGGCAAGCCGTTGAAATGCGCGCACAATTGGAGAAAAAGTTAGCTCAAAAGGAAAAGGAAAAGAAGGAGGATCATTTGAGACAGCTGGCCCAAAAGGCCCGAGAGGAGCGTGCCGGCTTGAAATCTAGCGCAACATTAGGTATTGCCATCTGATATCGTGCAAAATAAAGAATAATTGCAAATCTATTGTGCAAATCTATTGTGAGATTGTGATGAAAATTTAGATAACAGGTATTAACACACTTTTAGATAAAGCTGAAGAATCACGCGAAAGGGACCAACTCAGGCAGGAACGTCACAAGAATCGCGCTCGTGAACGAAATTTAGCTCGTGCCGCCCCCGACAAACGCTCTCGTTTACAACGTGAACGCGAGCGCGATATTAGCGAACAGATCGCGCTCGGTTTGCCCGCAAAGAGCATTCCGAATACGGGAGAAGCACAATTCGATCAACGTCTCTTCAATAGCAGTAAGGGATTAGATAGTGGTTATGGCCACGAGGACGAGTATAATGTGTATGATAAACCATGGAAAGATGGCAATTCGATTGCTTCTCATATTTATCGTCCTAACAAGAATATCGATAAAGACACTTATGGGGACGAACTAGAAAAATTGATTAAGACGAACAGGTTAGAGTTTATATTTATATTTTTATGTTTATATCAAGTACACTAATGTTTATGCAATTAAAAACTTTATATTTTACTTGACAATAAATAATAGATTTATATGTAATATATACATGTGTGTGTGTGTGTATATTTTTTTGATATATTTGTAAATGTAAAATTATCAAATTTATTTCTCATTTTAGATTCGTTCCCGATAAAGAATTCAGTGGAACCGATAGGTCGGCCACGCGATCAGGACCGGTACAATTTGAGAAGGAGGAAGAAGATCCTTTCGGTTTGGATCAATTTTTGAAACAGGCTAAGCGCGCCAGCTCAACAACAACAAAACGCAAAGATGAACGCGAGCAACGTAAAGACGATCGTGACAAACGAAGGAAGCATTAAAACAATTTATTCATTCATCCAGTGAATATTATTTATTCTATGAAAATGATAAATTCCGAAATTTCGTTTCGGATTTTACTACTTTATAATGGAATAAAAAATATGTTCGATAATAATAAAAAATAGTATGATGTAATAATATTGTAATATTATTGTAATATTATAAATAATGTTGTGTATAAATAACATTGTAATAATAAAAAATATTTTATTTGATTTAGCGACAATGGAATGCTGATATTCTTGATTCTTTTATTCGATTAAGTGATAATAGAACTTTCAAAATTATATATGATTGTTTCAATTATAGCAATATAATTTTATTCTGAAATATGTATTATAAGCGAAAACAATAGCAATATTTATTAAAAATATGAATGTGTCTTTGATATAGATTATTTTAGATTCTTGCAAATTTGTAAAAAAGATATTTTATAAAACATGCGCGCAAATCAAATTTCAAACATTATTTACTAAATATCTTTTTCTAAATATTTATTATAAATAAATGCTATTATATTATATATATTTTGTAATAAAATAAAATTTCCATGAGTGATGTAATAATATAGTTGTGAATGTTATATATGAGAATTTGAACTTCTGTAATTTGTTCTATTTTTGTTATTTGCTTCAAAGAAAAGCAGACATGTTTGGTATTTTAATAAGCAAGCCTGAACGAACTTAAAGCAGAGCTGCGCGAGGAATGTTACAGCCCGTTTTATGAAGAGTTTTATTACTTTCTTCATTTTTATTTTTACTTTCATTGCGGAAATAAGTAGCATATAATAAATCTGTTTCCTAATCAATAATAATTATTTTTATTTCTATTTATTTATTATTTCGCATAATAAATATCACTTAATACATAGAACATAGGAGAATTTACTTTGATCACTAATTGTTATCGAAAGTGAATCTTTTTAATGTCTTTTTCTTCTTTTTGAGACTTAACATTTTTTTTTAATTCTTGTAGATTATACAAATCTGAGTTTCTAAGTATATTTTAATAAACTCATTCATTATATCACACAAAATCCTTATGTAACAATTTTATAAGCATGCAATTAATGAACAACTGATAAATTCTCGATACAAACTACTATACCAAAATTGATTATTCACACGAATTATCACACTTTCGAAATTAAATGAAAGACAATCCAAAGTAAACATATAAATAAAAAAACGAGCAAAAGAATAATATCCTATTATAATATCCTTATAATATCCTATTAAAAAAATCACATTTTTTATCTATAATTGTTTCGAATTAAGAAAGTATTTAAGAATATCTGTATTAATTAATTAATTATCTCAAAAAGTGATTGTTGCTGTACAAATATAAAAACAAAAATATAAACGCTAATTTATTTATTTTAATTTTTTCTGATCGTGTCTGTATTTTTGTCGATATTCCTGATAGATAACAGGATATTCCTGATAGGAACAGTAAATGCGAAACAATGAAATATTGCTATATTGCCACGGTTTTTATACGTTATACATATACGTCATCGTGTTAATAAAATATTCCTGTAATAACAACAAAGGTATATTATTCCACATTAATTATCAATTAATATTTTTCCTTTGATCGTGAAAACAAAGAATAGTCTTTTTTACAGAAATTCGTCATTTGGCTATAAAAGCGAGAAACAGATTGGCACCAATCTTGGAATGTCGATCAGAAGTTGTTGGATGTTCGCCGATTTGGCCGACCGCTAATCGGTAGCACAAGCACGGTGTTTCGAGCTGTTAACTGTACCATTCAAGTGCTGGCACTTTGAAACGCAGTTTGATCAGAGATGGACATGTCAAGCTGAAGAGAGATACGCGGCTGACCCATATCAGTTTTTTCTACTGCATCGTCGGCGCCAAATCGGCTCGATAAAGCAGATCAAAAAGACAAAAGGACACTTTTTTACACTTTTATGGAAATCGAAATTTAGTTTATTTCATTTCTTTTTATTAACTATTAAATATTGAATTAAGTATTATTGAAAGAAGACTTTAAGACTGACATACATTTCTTAAATCAATATATGTATCCATATTTCTTAGCTTAAGTGCTATGCTTTATCAAAGCTGAAACTTGGTTCGCTTATTATTAGTATTGTTAATTTATTCATTAAATATTCATTAAATTATTCGTAAAAGACTATAATTATAGTATATGTGTACTAAGTATATTTTTTATCAAGAAGAGAGACTTTTTCAAAAGTTTTTTCTGTGATTGTTTTTAGCAAATTATATAATCTAAACAATGGAGTTTTCGAATTAAGAGAATATTTAATTTGATTATTTACATATTTATATATTTCTAAATCTGTTTCTAAATGTTCTTATTTTTCTTATATTTTTATATTTTACAAGTAAATATGTCAGTAAAGATAATTTTGCTAAAAAAATAGAAAAATAGTGAAATAAAAACTTTAATAGGATCTATTAAGAAATAATATCTAGTAAAATTTTATAAATATAAATTGCCATTTTAAACTTTTAGTAAAAAGTTAGAAACGGTATTGGTTTCAATAATATATCTTTTCTATATCGCTATATATTTGGAAATACATAATGTGTGTGTGTGTGTGTGTGTGTGTGATAATTATAAAAATGTTTTATTTTTGCGTAAAATATGAGTAACGATTTTTAATGAATAATAAAATAATTTTTTAATCGCAATTATTGTGTGTATAAACTGTACATTATGTTTTATACGAGAAAAAAATCGGAATATTACATTTATTTTTGTTTATTTTCCTTTTGCAGAAGTTTTACGGTAAATTCCAACATGCTGAAGACGGATCTTGAATACAAATAAAAAAAACGACGAGTTTCCGGCGCTACGGCGTAAACCTGCAGGTATTTTTAGCGTTTCCGACAGCTAACATTTTGCGTATATACCCGGCGGTGGAAAAACCCCGTATCACGTCCCAAAAAATGTGTGTATAAGTTTTCTCTTCAAATACTTCACCTTTCTGATTTCATTATTTAATATCCATGAGGGGAAAAAGATAGGCAAGTTTTGCTCTCGTGAAACGAGCTTTTGCTCGACGAAAAACCTGACATTTCGCGCACAGATTAAATTACTCTGCGCATTGTAATCTACGCACAACAGAAGTAGTTTAATCCGCACACATATGCATACATAAGCCGAAGAAAGCTTTCGAGAATCAGGAAATTGCAAATCGGTTTAGCGAATCGTGAAATACGGAACCGCGATGTATTTCGCGCAAAATTTGCGACGCGAAAAATTCTTTAACGTGTTCGATTTCCGGCTTGCTCTCGAGAGGCAAATGACCTGCTGAATTTTCTGTGGTTCCATAGCATCCAGGTATGACTACCGAGCAAATTTTATACACATTCGTGTATTGTTGCTCATGTTCCGCGGACTAATGTACATCATACACGAAGGTATTAAGCCAACTCAAAATTTTCCGAGTACATACAATTCGAGAGCGCGTACATTAAACTGAGTAACGGAGCTTTAATCCTAACACGCATGACCTATTTTGCGTTACGTAAATGCAAATGAAAGTAGTCTGAAGAGATCCTCTAGAGTGCCACTAAACATTCAATGCACTACACATTAAAAAATTTTTCTCATATTGCAAATATTTGTATATGCATTTATATATTTTTCTCATGCATTTCTCGAAAGCACGCGAACGCTGGTGAAATAATTTAGGAACAACTCGATACGCGAAAGATTTTGATTCTTTTGTAATTTGACAATTTTGCGGAAAGATTGGGATTTTAAAACAAAAGGTATTTTACATTTTTATTATATCAATGTGTAAAATAGACGAATTAAGGGCGATATTGCGAAAAATTGAAAAATATTTCTACAAAAATTGTGTGCCAATTTTCATGTCTGAAGTAAAAGAAAGATTTGCAAAACTTGCGTTTAGATAACTTGATTTGAGTCATGGTACTTTGATCTCATTTCAAAAGAATTACATTTTCAATAAAAAATATAATTCAAAATGTTAAAATTTTCTCGACGAATGCGTTCAATTCTTTCTTAATTAAAATTTTCCTTAGTTAAAATTCTCCTTATATTAATAAGAATAGTTTACTTTCATGAATATTAAGCGAATTTACTTTTAAGCGTCCATGTTTTACGATCTCCACTCTCTTTTGTGTGTGTATAAAATAAAGATTAATATCTACTCCAATTTGTAAAACACTATACCAACCGGTTAATCTAGAATTGTTTCTAAGTTTAACGTGTCGAGGATGTTCCTAATTATATATTTGCGACCATCGTTTCTTCGTTTTCATGGATTAACCGCGCGTTACGACAGTCGAACGGATCGTCGGTGACCGAGTTTGTTGTCGAAAAAAAATGATGCGGGACATCTATTTTTCAGGACGGATAAAGGGGATTTTCGCCGCCACTCGCACTTGACGCGACCCAATTACCGCGTTTCTCAATTAGATCGGGAAACGAGGAGATGCGTATTCGCAGGCGAGCTTCTCTTTCGTTTCCCGGCGCGTTGGCGGCTAGAAAGAGAAAGAGAAGGAAGGGAACGCGTATATCGCGGTTATTTATAAGTTCGGCGCGAGGGTCGGCGTTTAACCTTGCCCGACGTGGACCGTCAGGCATGTCACCTAACCGTTTTATTACGACTGTGTTATGTGTGTGTATGTGTGCGTGCGTGTGTGTGTGTGTGTGTGCTCTCCGAAATGCGCTTCCAATTGGGTCAGGTCCACGTCTGCTTTTCGGAGCGCGTTTCGCGAGCTGCCACTGACAGAAACTCTGACGGTGGATTAAACTCGCGCCTCCCTCCCTCTTTCTCTAGCTTTGCCATCGCGACGGAATAATACCGGTAATAATTTATTGCGACGCTTTAAATCCGAGCCTGCGCTCGCACAAGGGACCACGTTTTGCGCTTCAGAATGAATGGCAATCATCGTGAATGGTGTGCTTAAAAAGAGAAAATTTAACAGATAGTTTTAGAATTCTTTTATTATTTCAGAAACCTGATAAAGTGTTATGAATAATTGAATGTCAGATAGAAATAAATCTATATTCGTGTAACTTTTAAAATTTAATTATTGTTAAATCTATTTTAGTTGTCTAAATAAAACGTTAAAAATTGAAAATTAGACAGC